GGCCAGGCATGGTGGCTCATGCCCGTAATCCCAATACTTTGGGAGGCCAAGGCAGGTGGATCACGAGGTCAGGAGTTCAAGACCAGCCTGGCCAAGATAGTGAAACCCCCCTCTCTACTAAAAATACAAAAAAATTAGCCAGGCATGGTGGTTGGTGCCTGTAACCACAGCTACTCGGAAGGCTGAGACAGAGAACTGCTTGTACCTAGGAGGCAGAGGTTGCAGTGGGCCGAGATTGCGCCACTGCACTTCAACCTGGGCGACAGAGTGAGACTGTCTCAAAAAAAAAAAAAAAAAAAAAGTTAAAATTCTCTGGCTTTATATTGTATAGATTTTTCCATCTCTTCCCCAAACTCTAAGGCATTTGTAACAGAGGCAGGCAGTACAGGCCAAGAGAATCTGAGATTTACCAGTACCACATCTCAAAGGGGAAGCAAGTCATGGGAAGTGGGGTGGAAAGAACAGAAGGCTGGGAACAACATGGTACAGTGGCAACAGCCAGAACACAGTCAACATCTCAGCCCTGCTGCTTACTAGCCATCATCAGCCTGGGGCAAGTGACCGACCCTATCAATCTAGCATAACAGTTAGGGCAACCGTACACCCCAGTGTTCCCAGGACTGCCAGAGAACTATCAGTAGTGCCCCAATTCATTCAAAGGCCCAAATGGACAAGCAGTCACAGGGTCACCATCAGTTTAATACACACCTTGCAGGCCTGTTTGGGGGGATGAGAGCCTGTAGGGGGCCTCCTGGTACAGGAAGGGTCTTGGGCTATAATTGGGTGACATTATGGGGCTGGAAGACACAAAGAGGCATGGAGTATCTGTGATTTTGATTTCCAGAAGCCATGCCTGTGGCTGTCTTTAGAGTTTTTCTGTTATATTCTAAGTTGAGCTCCTGCGAAGATGTCTCACCCTCCACAGGGGAGGAAGGCCTCTCTTGAGAGCAGCCTTGCTGCCCCATTACATTTCTCCTGCTATAACCCTGGGCAGAAAAGGATTCCAGTTTTTCATTTAAAGATAAAGTACGCCAGACACGGTGGTTCACACCTGTAATCCCAGTACTGTTGGAGGCCGAGGCGGGTGGATCATGTCAGGGAGAACTTTCTGGCTAACAAAGTGAAACCCCGTCTCTACTAAAAATAGAAAAAAATTAGCCAGGTGTGGTGGCGGGTACCTATAGTCCCAGCTACTCGGGAAGCTGAGGCAGAAGAATCACTTGAACTCGGGAGGCAGAGATTGCAGTGAACTGAGATCGTACCACTGTACTCCAGCCTGGGTGACAGAACAAGACTGTCTCAAGAAAAAAAAAAAAGAAAATAGGCGAGGCATCAACTCTCCAGCAACCCACATAGCTCATTCATTCGTTAGCTGGTCAAACTAATGGCAACGTTAGAGCTGTAAGAAGTTAAAATTCTCAGGCCAGGCGAGGTGGCTCACACCTGTAATCCAAGCACTTTGAGAGGTCGAGGCAGGGTGGATCATTTGAGGTCCGGCATTTGAGACTAGCCTGGCCAACATGGTGAAACCGTCTCTACTAAAAACACATAAATTACCTGGGTGTGGTGGTGGGTACCTGTAATCCCAGCTACTTGGGTGGCTAAGGCAGGAGAATTGCTTGAACCCAGGAGATGGAGATTGCAGTGAGCTGAGATTGCACCACTGCACTCCAGCCTGGGCAACAGAATGAGACTCTGTCTCAAAATCAATTAAAAAATAAAAGTAAAAGCAACTTTGAGCAGCAGTTATTCTAGGACAGAGCCACCAGCTCACAGGTACAGGGCTTGCTCCTGGATGACATCACTGCAAATACTACAGTTCAAGTTTAGGAGCTGAGAAAAAAGTTCTCTGAGAACCCACACAGGCACAAATTCCCTGCTTCTGTGCAATATACACAATGTCAACAAACCAGAGTGGGGCTATTTCAGGTATGAAGATCATCTAAAATTGGGGGCAGCTGGGCGCAGTGGCTCATGCCTGTAATCCAGCACTTTGGGAGGCCAAGGTGAGTGGATTACCTGAGGTCGGGAGTTCGTGAGCAGCCTGGCCAACATGATGAAACCCTGTCTCAAAGTACAAAAAATTAGCCGGGCATAGTGGTGGTGCACACCTGTAGTCCCAACTACTTGGGAGGTTGAAGTAGGAGAATTGCTTGAACCTGGGAGGTGGAGGTTGCAGTGAGCCGAGATCACACCATTGCACTCCCACCTGGGCAACAGAGCGAGACCCTGCGTCTAAATAAATAACTAAAATTAGGGGCAACCAGAAATGGCCTAAAGGCATATAGACAGATTTGTGGGTGACATTTATCCAACAGGCCACTGCAGAAGAGCCACCGGGACCCGTTTTATCCCAAACCCAAAAAGCCCATGCCAAGAGAGAACCCTGCTAGAGCAGCCAGAGTCCAGGTTTCCAGCCCTTAAATCCCACATCCCTCCTGGGCCTGTGTTCCCATCTGAAGACAGGGCTTTTGGTGTAGGTGTGAGACTCATGTCCTCTGAAGCTGTAACGTGCCACAAACCTAAGCCACAATATTTCATGTCATTATTTGGGAGGAGGGGGGACACAATTCTGCTGCTGAAAATGAGTTGGAAAACACTGGGCTGGATTCTCCAAGGTTAAGTTAGAAGAGGACGTAACTCCTGTTATACAGTAATTTGTTTTTCCCACCTCCAAGACAAGACAGTGGTCTAGCTCCAGGCTGTGAGGACGGAGGTGGAGAGAAGAGTCCCAGAAGGAAAGGTGTGGTGGGAGGAAGGGCCCTCTGGGAAGCCCCACTGTGCTGCCAACTCCCCAAGGCCACCACTGGGACGCCCCGTTGCCCCGCCCCCTCCCGGTGAGCCTCCCTCTGCCTCCTGTGCTTCCTGCCTCATCCTCTGAGTACAATGATGGCCCTATGCCCACAGAGCCCTGTGCCCAGCAAGGTGGGCTTATGATTAAGGGCCGACCCCGCCACCTACAGTGTCGCAACTCCTTCTTGAAGGCCTTGTGGTTCCCCAGCTCTTCCTGGAAGACCTGGCCCACTTTTCGGAGCATGTCGGAGCTCTTCTTGGTCAGGAACCAGCCGAAGTAGAGTGGCAGGAAGTCCTTCTCCAGCCCAGGCTTCAGCTTCTTCAGGTCATCGGCCGACAGCTGCCACTGGTTCTTCTCCTTGAGCTGGGCACAGTCCAGCCGCCACGCCGTCTTGGGCTCCACCAGCACCACCTGGTACTGGTACTGGTCGGCCATTTCAAAGAGCTGCTCCAGCCGTTCCCGCTCGTGGTTGGTGTCATCTAGCACAAGAATTCTGATGTCCCGGCGGCGGCAGTAGGCAGCCAGGTCCTCATCGAGCCGCTTGTACTCCTCGGAGAAGGCCCCTCGAGCGCCGGGGGTGATCTTGTAAGCATCAGCCGACACCATCTTGGTGCCATCACGGTACTTGTCCACGATGACCCGTGCCAGCGTGGACTTGCCGCTTCCTGGCAGGCCGCGCAAGATGAAGAGTGTCTTGCACTCTTGCAGCGTGGCCACGGTGTCCTCATCCTGAAGGAAGGGAAACTGCAGCTCGGGCTTGTCCTTGGCCCCTGAGGATGACATCTTGCGAAAGAAGATCTTGGGCAGGAACGTGTGGCTTTTTCGGGAGAAGCCTCTGTTCTGTGTAAGGAGGGGAAGAGATGTCAGCCCAGGTCCTTCGCGGGCTCCCCGCCAGCCTCACACCCCTAGTCCCTTGGCCTGGTTGTGGACGCCTTCCCAAGCGAGGCAGTGCTGGACCTTTGTCCCTTTCCCAGGAGCACCTGTCCGCTTCTGGTCGTGGAGAAGGGAGAGGCAAGCCTGTCTGAAGCTCTCCTAAGCGCGCGCTCTCCCCATTGCTGCCACCTTGGAATGGAAAACGTGCTGGAGGCATGCAGGGCGCGCCGGGAGCCTGCGGTTCTGGGACTGGCCTCGCTCTTATATGCTTGGCACCTACTAAGGACGTCCTCTTTGGAGGGGGTCTCTGTGTCTGGGCCAAGCCACAGCTGCCCCGGCTGAGTGCACAGAGAAGGGCGGGGAGTGGAGAAGGGTTACCCCAAGACTGCCTCCCTTCCCCCAACAATGGCCGCAACAGATAATACTCTCTTGTCTGGGTTGCGGGGACAATGGTCCCACAGAAGGGCTGGTAGGGGGCAGGGCAGGAGAGCTCTGGACAAAGGCCCTCTTTCACCGAGGCTGCCATCTCCTCCTCTGCCCCCTCCCGGCCCCACAAAGTCGTGGTCTTTGTGCCTGCCCAGGCCAGGGCGGCACAGGGCACCTGCAATCGGGTCCAGCTCTGCCCGCCACCGTGCTGTGTGTCAGCAGCCCCTCTCGGAGCCACTTGTTTTCCTGTCTGCTAGAAGCCACAGAGACAACAGCGTTTACTGCAAAGCGTCTCCTCCTCTGAACTGGCTCCGCCTCCCGCGCGCACCCGGGCGCGGGGCAGCCGTTCCGCTTAAAGAGACGTGGCCCAGGATGCGGGCGCGAAACGGCTGCCCCAGCGCGGGACTGCGCGGGGTCGGGAGCAGCTCCCGGGCTCCCGCGGCCCCTGGCCCAGGCCCACCCGCCAGCTGGGGCTCCCAGGGGCGCAGCAGCTTCTTCGGTTCCGAGTTCCCTCCTCAGAAACGCCACCGTTTCCCTCCCCAACGGCCTCTCCGGCCCCCCACAAGTAACCCCGCTTCTCACCGACCTCAGGGCTTCCCTGAGTACCAAGAAAACTGGCAGTCGAGCCGGAAGCCCAGGGTCCTGGTTTGCAAGACGGGCGCCGACACTCGTTTCCCGCCCCGGTCCTACCCCGTGCCCGGCCCCGCCCGGCCGCTCACCATGATGAGGAGGGGCGCCAACGTCGCCGCCTCTGCCGGCACCAGCGCTCCGGAGCCGCCCGCCTGCGCGGAGGGACGCGGCAGTCCGGCTGTGGCGCGACCCAAGCCCCGCCGCTTTACATAGCCCGGGGGGGCGGAGCGGGTCGGCCCTTCTGCGCGCATGCGCCGCGAATCGAAACCCCCAAACTCCCGCCGCGCGCGAGAGCTCCGGCGGGCCCCGCCCCTTGCGCGCCCACGCCCCCCCCCGGTCCCGCCCCTGCGCGCGCCTTCGCCCCTGCGCGCGCCTTCGCCCCTGCGCGCGCCTTCGCCCCTGCGCGCGCCTTCGCCCCTGCGCGCGCCTTCGCCCCCGCGCGCACCCACCCACTGTGACCGCCAACTGGGCTGCCGCTTCCTTCTTTCGCGTGTTGAGGGGTAACTCAGTCACCCTCCCCGCTCCCGTGGATTAGCAGGAAGTGAGTGAGGCAGGGTCGTGCAAGGTCGGATCCTGTCCTTAATTTTTGATATTTTATTCATCGTGGACTTTGGCATTAATTAAAATTTTTTTTACCATATTGGATTAAAATATTATCACGCAGGTTGCTGGCACCACCGTAAACTCTGCATCTGAAATGGCTCACTGGCCTCACTCGTCCGGGCCCTGTGCCAGCCGAAAGTCAGTCTCAGCCCCTACCCTTCCTTCTAGGAGTTGTGGAGACAGACCAGGATGGCAGTAGCCAAAGTGGCAGTTAAGTAACGGAGTGAAACCCTAACATCCTCTGAGATGCCACGTCCTCTGTGAAGCCACTGGGAGCTCAGTTGGACTTTTGAGTTTCCTGTGTACCGGGTGCTGTGCTAAGCACTCAGTCTTCGCAGCAACCCCCGAGGCAAGCATCCCATTATTCAGGCAGGCAAGCTTGGAGAGCCTGATTGACCTGACTGTGCCACCCAGAGGTGTCAGAGGCGGAGTCTGCCTGCCCTTCCGACTCCCAGGCTACTGCCCTATTCTTTGGCCTCAGCCTCCGCATTCGCTTGGTTCTGACTTGGGGCATTCTCCCACCTGGATAGCTGGGACCACCCCACCGTTGTTCCATCTATAAAGCGTCCCAGTGTCCTGAGCTCTGGAGGGACTCAGCCAGTCGTCGGTGTCGGGGAAGCACCACTGTGTCTGAAGCAAGCCACAGGCCTTCCCCTCTCCTCCTCCCTGTGACTTATCATTCCCTGAAGCTCACCCTCCTGAAACCCTTTCTTCTTAGCACCTTTCTCGATTCTTCCAGGAGGCTCTTCTGAGAATGGGTGGGGGTGAAGAGGCAAAGTGACAGACTCAGGGTTTGCAAGAGTGAAAGACACTTATTTAATGGTAAAACAGTGACAGAAAGCAGCAGAAGTGAAACCCTTATTTTTCCTATTACAGAAAAATCGCTTGAAAATCCAGTTTAATCAGATCCGATGAGCCCTCTGGACACCAACTTCCTGATCCTCATCCCTACCGATGGCTTCATTCATATTCCTTTTTTCATCTCATTTTCTGTTTTTTTTCATTTCTCCTATTTCTCCCAATTGTGTTTTTCCCAGTTCTGGCTCTCTTCTGCCAACTTCTGAAAGTTCCTTTAGTCCTTCTGGTTCCTGTCTGCTGAATTCTCCTAAGAGTCTTTGGTCTAATTCTCCTGAAGTCCTCCTGTAAATTTCTCTTGATTCTCTTCTGTCAGCTTCTAGTAGCTTCCTGCCTGTTTCTTCTGATCTCGTGTCTAATTCTCCTGACAGGCCCTTGGCAACTTCTCCCAAATTGCTCCTGGCTTTTCCTGCTTCCACTCTCTGCTGTCCGCTTGCTGTGCTCTGCAGAGCAAAAGCCTCATTGTCCTCATCCGTCTCTTTCTCATCCTGAAAATGGTCCCACTGCTGTACCACCTTCTCAGGCTCATCTCTCTCTCTCTTCCTGTCCTCCGTTGATATTACTATTCTATCTTCATACAGTGAAGGTTCTGAAAAACAAGAGAAAGGAGGGAAGAAACATAAAAGTTTATTCATGTCAGGCCAGGGGCAGTGGCTCACACCTGTAATCTCAGCACTTTGGGAGGCTGAGGCAGGTGGATCCCTAGAGGCCAGGAGTTCCAGACCAGCATGGGTGACACAGTGAGACCCTGTCTGTACTAAAAATTTAAAAATAAGCAAGGCGTGCCTGTAGTTCCAGCTACCCAGAGGCTAAGGCAGAAGAATCCCTGGAGCCCAGGAGGTTGTGGCTGTAGTGAGCCAAAATCGAGCCACTGCACTCCAGCCTGGGTGACAGAGTGAGACCTGTCTCCAAAAAAGAAAAAAAGAAAGAAACTGTTCATTTCTGTGGAGGCCTGTGCTTTTGAGAAGCAGATGAGGGAAAGGCCCCGAAAATGACTGTTCTCACCAGCTCTTTAAATTGGTGTGACAGCACATCTTTCCAAAAGCAGAGAAAGGGAACCATCATTGACTGAGCCCAGCTCCATCCTACGCATCATGTGAGGACTGTATAGCTTATCCCATCTGGTCATCTTGAAAATACGCAGTGTCGTTGATTTGAGTTTGCAGTCAAGGGACCTGAGACTGATAGATAGAAAAGAAATTACACAGCCAGGCACTGTGGCTCACGCCTGTAATCCCATCTCCTTGGGAGGCCAAGGCGGGTAGATCACTTGAGGTCAGGAGTTTGAGACCAGCCTGGCCAAAAGGTGAAACCCTGACTCTACTAAAAATACAAAAATAGGCCGGGCGCAGTGGCTCATGCCTGTAATCCCAACACTTTGGGAGGCTGAGGTGGTGGATCACCTGAGGTCGGGAGTTCAAGACCAGCCTGACCAACATGGAGAAACCCTGTCTCTACTAAAAATACAAAATTAGCTGGGTGTGGTGGCACATGTCTTTAATCCCAGCTACTTGGGAGGCTGAAGCAGGAGAATCACTTGATCCTGGGAGGCAGAGGGTGCAGTGAGCCGAGATTGTGTCACTGCACTCCAGCCTGGGCAATAAGCAAAACTCCATCTCAAAAATAAAATAAAAATAAGCTTGGCATGGTGGCAGGCACCCATAATCCCAGCTACTCGGGAGGCTGAGGCAGGAGAATCACTTGAACCTGGGAGGTGGGGGTTGCAGAGAGCCAAGATTGTGCCATTGCACTCCATCCTGGGCAACAAGAGCAAAACTCTGTATCAAAAAAAAAAAAAAAACAAATTAGCCAGGCACGGTGGCGGGATCCTGTAGTCCCCACTACTCAGGAGGCTGAGGCAGGAGAATCACTTGAACCTGGAAGGCAGAGGCTGTAATGAGCAGAGATCGTGCCACTGCACTGCAGCCTGGGTGACAGAGGGAGACTCCATTTCCAAAAAAAAAAAAAAAAAAAAGGTGTGGTGACTCACCCCCTGTAATCCCAGCACTGTGGGAGGCTGAGGTAGGATCACCCAAGGTCAGGAGTTCGAGACTTCGAGACTAGCATAGTCAACATGGTGAAACCCTGTCTCTCTAACAATATAAAAATCGAGCTGGACATGGTGGTGGCCACCTGTAATCCCAGCTACTCAGGAGGCTGAGGCAGGAGAATTATTTGAACTTGGCAGCAGAGGTTGCAGTGAGTGGAGATTGGGTGACAGAGCGAGACTCCGTCTCAGAAAAAAAAAAGAAAATCACACAGACACTGCAAGTGACAAATGGCAGAGACAATTTGAACCCTGGACAGTCTGACCCCAGAGCATCTTCTCTTTTCCCTACAAGAAATAGCATAGGTGCTGGCAAATGACAGCAGGGTTTTCTCCAGCATCATTTTTTTTTTTTTTTGAGACGGAGTTTCACTCTTGTTACCCAGGCTGGAGTGCAATGGCGCGATCTCGGCTCACCGCAACCTCCACCTCCTGGGTTCAGGCAATTCTCCTGCCTCAACCTCCTCAGTAGCTGGGATTACAGGCACACGCCACCATGCCCAGCTAATGTTTTTTTTGTATTTTTAGTAGAGATGGGGTTTCACCATGTTGACCAGGATGGTCTCGATCTCCTGACCTCGTGATCCACCCGCCTTGGCCTCCCAAAGTGCTGGGATTACAGGCTTGAGCCACCGCGCCCGGCACTCCTAAATGTTTTTTATCAGGTATGGAGAAAAGTCACATCCCCTTCTGCATCTCCCTTACATTATCTTCCTGGAAACTACTAGTTACTAAGGAGCCCGCAGAGGGTCTTGGGTCTCAGGGGTCACAGCACTTTGGAGGTGAAAACAGATGCAATGCTGCCACCTGCTGTTGTGAAAGGGAAGTGCCTGGCAATTCTGCAGGTGCAGGGACGCAGGTCAGGGTGGGGGAGACTCGGGAGTCTGCTGCTTCCCTGCCGAGCAGCTGCTGCTCCTGTGGCTTCTCAGAGCAGCTCAAAGAGCACGTGGGGGCGGAGACAGAGCCCCTCTGAGGGGGTCCAGCCACCACAGAGCAAGTGCTGAATAATAAAGGGCTGTTGCCGGGCACGATGGCTCACACCTGTAATCCCAGCATTTTGGGAGGCTGAGGTGGGCGGATAAGGAGGTCAAGAGATCGAGACCATCCTGGCCAACATGGTGAAACCCTGTCTCTACTGAAAATAGAAAAATTAGCTGGGCATGGTGGCACTCTCCCATAGTCTCAGCTACTCAGGAGGCTGGGGCAGGAGAATCGCTTGAACCTGGGAGGCGAAGGTTGGAGTCAGCTGAGATGGCGCCACTGCACTCCAGCCTGAGTGACAGAGACAGAGTGCGTCTCAAAAGGAAGGAAGGAAAGGTGGAAGGGAGGAAGCGAGGGAGGGCTGTCATCTGGCTGCTCAGATACCCAGAAACCTCCCATGTCCCTGCCTGGACCACAAAGGATTTCAGCCTGGGCTGTGTCCTCCTGGGCCCCCAACCCTGGCTCCATTGACTGCAGTCTGGCTGGAGTGAGAGTACCACAGACTGGGGCAGGAAAAGGCTGTGTCACTAGAAACAGTGTGGCACTATGGCCAAAGCATGGGTTCTAGAGCCAGACTGCCCAAGACTGAAAACCACTGTATGCCTCTAACTCCTTTGCCTCCATGTCCTCCGTAAAATCAAGCTAATCACACTTCCTTCGTAGTGTTTCTGCACGCAGAGGATGTCTGTGCATACAGGAAGTATGCACATTCTTCCTTTGGAAGAATGCCTGGCCTGCAGGAAGCACGAATGGAGGTTGGCTACTGCTTTTAACA